TTGTGTCTCCGTTGAATACCATAGTATTTTGTGCATTCATCCAGTATTGTTTTGCTGAGTAAAAATGTAAGTGGTTGGAGTTTGAGCGAAATAATATCACTTGCGTGAGGGATTATAACTCAAGTGAGAACATAAATTATTATTATTATTTACATATCACAATCTCTTGTCCTCACTAACCTTACTTGCAATTATTATGGCAACGATAATTCTTAGAGCGTACTTCACATTGCAGAGCGCCAATCCTTCGCACGAGTGTAGAAGAATCTCCCATTGCGTCTTTCTCGGAAGGCTAGCCCCCAACGAGAGACCAAACTCTCGAGGAACCTAGCACCTTCTCTAAATCTGCTACTCGCAGAAGAGAAATCTGTATACACCACCACCACCATTTAAAAATATCATTGCGTAGAAGTAAAGAGCGCTTCTAGCCTGCTTATTTCCCTCTAGAGGACGTACAACATTTGTATTACAGTTTGACCGTAATTCCACGGCCAGATTCTAGTACAATAACCGCAGTCCACATCACATCGCTAGGAGACTGAGCCCATGGTATCATCTGGGTCACTCACTGTCCTCCATAGGGTTGTGCTTGCATCGTGTTCGATGAGCAGCCTCGCAACGTCGAGGTGACCATTGCTCAATGCAAGATGCAGCACAGTCCGACCATGTTTGTCAGCGAAGTCAACAGCTGTGTTGTGTTCAATGAGCAGCCTCACAATGTCAAGGTGACCATTGCTTGATGCAAGATGCAGCTCAGTCTGGCCATATTCATTGACTAAGTTGACAGGTGCGTTATATTCAATCAGCACCCTTGCAATGTCGAGGTGACCATTGCTCAATGCAAGATGCAGCACAGTGTGGCCATATTTGTCGACTAAGTCAACAGGTGTGTTGTGTTCAATGAGCAGCCTCGCAATGTCAAGGTGACCATTGCTCAACGCAAGATGCAGCTCAGTCTGGCCATATTCATTGACTAAGTTGACAGGTGTGTTATGTTCGATGAGCAGCCTTGCAATGTCGAGGTGACCATTGCTCAATGCAAGATGCAGCACAGTTTGGCCATCTTTGTCAGCTAAGTTAACAGGTGCATGATGTTCAATGAGCAGCCTTGCGATATTGAGGTGACCAATGATCAATGCTTCATGCAGCGCAGTCTGGCCATATTTGTTGACAAAATCAGCAGGCACGTTGTGTTCGATGAGCAGCCTCGCAATGTCAAGGTAACCATTGCTCGATGCAAGATGCAGCGCAGTTTGGCCATATTCATTGACTAAGTCAACAGGTGCATTGTGTTCCATGAGCAGCCTCACAATGTCGAGGTAACCATTGCTCAATGCAAGATGCAGCGCAGTCCAGCCATATTCATTGACTACGTCGACATGTGCATTGTGTTCAATGAGCAGCCTCGCAATGTCGAGGTAACCATTGCTCGATGCAAGATACAGCGCAGTCTGGCTATATCCGTCAACCAAGTCAACAGGTGCGCTGTGTTCAATGAGCAGCCTTGCAATGTCGACGTGACTATTGCTCAATGCAAAATGCAGCACAGTCCTGCCATCTTCGCTGGCTAAGTCAACAGGTGCATTGTGTTTGATGAGCAGCCTCGCAATGTCGAGGTGACCATTGCGCGATGCAAGATGCAGCGCAGTCTGGCCATATTTGTCAACAAAGTCAAGAGGTGTGTTGTGTTCAACGAGTAGCCTTGCAATGTTGAGGGAACCATTGTTCGATGCAAGATGCAACACTGTCTGGCCATATTCATCGACTAAGTCAACAGGTGCATTGTGTTCCATGAGCAGCCTCGCGATTTCGAGGTAACCATTGCTCAATGCAATATGCAGCGCAGTCTGGCCATATCTGTTGACTTGGTCGACAGATGTGTTGTGTTCAACAAGCAGAGAGTGTACTCCCTTTGTGTAACCCATTGCAGCACATATACATACTGCCGGTGCGATCGTTTCATCCCAGGCACGGGTCTCATAATAACCCAAAGGACGCAATTGGTACAAAGCAGCATGTTGACTGCTTCCATCTTTTAAGAGACACATTGTTGAGGGAAGTAGTGCATCCTGGTCCTGGTCATTGCAATGCTGTAGATGGTAGAGCCAATATTCTGCTGCATACAACGCGATCGGGTAGTCTGGGAGCGTGTCCTCAGTCATTGAATGTTTGGTGTCCGCAAAAAGGAGGAGATAGCGGACACAAGTCTGGGTGATAAATTTATGGGAGACATCCATTGTAAGATCAATAATTCCGCCGAATTCTGCGCCGAATTGTGGGGAAAGGACATAATCCTTCACAGAGGAATGTGCAAGAGTAATTGACAGTTCATCCCCGTTATCGACTGACTGTTCATCCCAGTCACTTGACAACCCATCCCAGTCACTGATTGATAACTCATCCCAGTCACTGTTTGACAACTCATGCCAGTCATTGTTTTTGATTACAATCAGCCCCTCCAACAGCTTCAAGATATCAGAGTTGCCCCCACGTCCACTCGGGGCTTGGATAAAAACTGTTCTTCTGGGAATATATGTTGCCCGGGTCAGGAAACGGCTGTAAATCCCAAACAGATCAGCTGGAAGGCCTGTGAGGGTCTCCTCCACGTCCTTTCTGAAATCACAATCACGCAGTTCAATGAGGAGACATGCAGCCATGCGAAACCTGGATATGCAAGTTAGCTTAAACACAAATTACAACACAATGAGAGGACTAACATTCCATGGCTCTTCTGCACAATTTGCTCTGTGACATTCTTTGCATAATTGTCATCACTAGCCCAATTTCCAAGCCTGGCAACTTCACTGCCAACGAAGGACTTAATGTCATCATTTGAGACCCAGGAACCAAGCTCCATGAATATTGCATCCTTGAATGCTGTTTGTAATTCCTCAAGAGGTTGACTAGTAAACAGGAGATGTGGTGCATTTTTGGCGGGATGGCATAGGCTGAGAATGAACTCAATAAGAGGCTTCCGGTCGGTTTTATTGCATTCATCAAGCCCATCAATGACAATATATGTCTGGTCCAACTCTGAAAGTAAATTCTTGAGCACTCCTTGAAGATGTAAATGCTGTGGCTGTATAGTTCCATTTCCCAGTGTTGTGTATAGCTAAAGAGAGCTATAGGGTGAAGGTGACCGTCCAGAGAGCTGCCAGACGATAGAACGTAACATGAGATCCATGTGCTACCTCTCGTTCCGAAAATCAAAATAGAAATATGCAACTGCGGTCTGGTCTGGACAGCCCACGGTGATATTTTCAATCACTGTTGAGCTGTCGCAATGGTCAGCCGCAGATTAATGTTGTATGTAGTAGTGATACAAATCACCTTAGTACACTCTTTCCGGTACCAGCTACAACCAATTATTAGACATGGAATCGGAAATTGGGATTGAATGAAATTGACTTACAGATGCCTTTGATCCATAAAGAGCTGGCTGTGGTCTTCCATTTGATGAATTGGCTATCACGTAAGAACCAGCTTCCAGTGACTTCATGACGAAGTTTCCTCAGCTCGTGCTGTCTGTCCTTTGTAGTAGGAGGAGACTCCAACCACTTGTAGAGAACTTCTTCAAGTCTGGACAGAAGTCAGCTTGAGAAATCCTCAACCCAGAAATCAATTAACCCTTGGCCTTGGTTTACACTGCTCTTGTTGAGAAAGAGGTTTGAAAAAAGGAATGGGGAACATACACATTACTTGTCAAGTTGTGAACTCTGTCAACATTCAGTATTGGACCCTGGCCTTAGCCCCCAATACCACCTATGCCACCGTCTCCGCCTTTGCCTCCTGTGCCTCCTAGGGACAAATTATGACAATGACATCTCAATTAGGTTCCCTACACACCAAAAAGATTCACAGTCTTGAAGTTATTCCCTTCCCTGAACATCGTCAAAATGAATTGGTATATCACTGATCTTCTATATGCAGACCACGATGTGAGCCACAGATGATGAAGATTACACAGCAGAAAGGGAGGTACTCACAGTAAGGATGAGGGGATGTATCTGTGTGCAGTGGGTGCGGAGGTAGAAGACAAGAACCGTAGTCATGAGAGCCTCATGGAGAACAGCCTGCACTTTCACACGATGAAGCGAGGAGATTTTTGTCATCGGCTTCAATGTGTGATTAAATTTCAGAAAAATCTGGGATAACTGAAAGCTCCTGGAATTGCACCCATTGACTTCTACGCATAAAATGGTGAGAGGTAATCAATTTGTTCAGCATTCAGGATGGTGAAGTTCCCCCCCAAAAAAAAGAAAGAGTGCATCCGTGCAGTCTCACATCACACAAGGTTGACATGCCACTCGGAAGCAGAACAGCTCTGCTGTCATGTGTACAGCTTTGCCTAATTTGGTAACTCAGGCCATCAGGAATAGTACAGCTGCAGGTCAACAAAAAGGTATAATCGCACTCTTTATATGGAGTTGTAACTTGTAAAAGAGAAAAATAGTGGAAGAGACATGTAAAGCAGCTAGAGTAGTACCTTGATTCAAACAATGACCTCGGAATTCCAGATACGAAGAAATGTCTAAGAAGGTCTTGTGTGCAGCAGCATTGCACCATATCACCTTCATTGCCTTCTTTCAAGGCTCATTGGCCCCCAAAAAAATGAGTTGAGTTGTGAAAAAAAGAGGATTGACGAAGAAGTCATCAAGAGCCGTACCTTGATTTGAACAGAACTTCAGGGTTAATCCTTTCTGCAGAGATGATAAGTGGGCTCTGGTACACTATACTGCTTTCCCTTTCCCTTCCTTATTCCAAGGGCTATGAAGCCTGAGAAAATTGTAGACCTTGCTACGGGAAAAAAGAAAGTAAATGTGGAGCTAGGGCAGTACCTTGGTTCGAACAAGGACCTTGAGATTAACTTGCTCGGGATTCACGTAGTAAGTTCCCGTGTGCAGATAGTACACCATACTGCTTTTATTCCATGGCTCAAATATATGCAAGAAATTGAGTCAAGTTGTGAAGAAGAAAAAAACACGGTTGGAGTTCGCGCAGAGCAGTACCTTGATTCGAACAAGGGCCTCGGGATTAATTTTCTTCCAAATCATCTTAGGGGAATCCTGTGTGCGAATATTGCACCATACTGCTTTCCTTACCCAATCTACTCCCTCGCAAACATCTGTATGATTTATGGTGTCCCGTAGCAAAAGAGTGATGTGTGACAGCAGAAGAGCAGCACCTTGATTCGAGCAGGGGCCTCGGGATTCACTGTGGCGGTGTCCGCCTAGTGGAATCCCGTGTGCAGACATTACACCATACTGCTTTCTTTTTCTTGTTCCAGGGCTCAGTGTTGGCAGAGACGGGTCAAGGGTCTGACGTGTCAGACGGAATTGACGCGTGACGGCAGTCTGACGGGCCTTGACCCTGTTTGACGGTCAGTTGACGGTGGGCCCAAAAACGTCTCCTGCTGTTCCAGCACCCATAGTCAATGTAATATGGCCTCTTCTTCGTCATTTCCTGAGGTTGGAGCATATAATTTCAGACTTATGTGTCAATGGGGCCAAAGTATGAGAGCACCTTGACAGTAGAACACCAAATGGTCACAATAGTTGACCAGGACTTGTCATGTCGGTGCATAATGTTGTTATGAACTCAATAGAGTTCAATTTTTCAAGTATCCATGGAGACTGTAAGGAGATGGACTCGGGGCCTATGGGCAGGGGAGGGTAAGGGATTTGGAGGATGAACTCGAGTTATATGACCTTTGGATGGAAGATAACAATGATTAGAAGTACTACAACATAACCATGATTTTCCTTGAATTTATTTGGCTTTTTTCGAGGGGAATTCAACAGGAATTCCAAAAAAGGAAATTGACTTGACGAACTGTTAAACGGCGTCAATCGTCTTGACAAACCGTCAGACCCCGTCTGACTCCGTCAATGCCGACATTGCCAGGGCTCATCAGGCCCCAAAAAATTAAGTAGCTTGGCCTACAAAAAAGAACACAAAGAGGTAAAGAGCAGTACAGTTCAGGATTACAGCCCTTTGCGGAACTTAGGGCGCGGACAGTTTTTTTTTTTTTTCATGCTTTTCAACGAGAATCGTTATTTCGAGCTCAGTTCTTGTCCGTTTGCCTTATAAATATGCTCATTGTGTCCGCAATGAAATTGCGGAGGGCACCACGGTCTTCGTTTTCCCTGATGCGATCATAATTGCCTTATTGGGAAAATGTCGCTCTTTTTGTACAGAACTTGTCGCATCCTCTGTGCTGTGGTCAGATTGACCTATAAATTTGATATGACGTCTTTATGAGTATTACGAAGGGCTGGACGGACCGGTATTTCCTCATATTGTATCTATTTCTTGTATACAAGGTATTCAGATATCCCACATTATGAGAATGCAGAATACCGGTGAACTAAGACACACATTCAAAATCCCGGTCCATCCAGCCCTCAATGATACTCATAAAGACATCATATCAAATTTATAGGTCAATCTGACCACAGCACAGAGGATGCGACAAGTTCTGTACAAAAAGGGCGACATTTTCCCAATAAGGCAATTATGATCGCATCAGGGGAAACGAAGACCGTGGTGCCCTCCGCATTTTCATTGCGGACACAATGAGCATATTTATAAGGCAAACGGACAAGAATTGAGCTCGAAATAACGATTCTCGTTGAAAAGCATGAAAAAAAAAAAAAAACTGTCCGCGCCCTAAGTTCCGCAAAGGGCTGTAACTTTCTTGGAATGGAGAATTGAAATTTTGTGGGCGGTATTAAACCATACTGCCTTCCCTGTATATTGCAGGGCTCACAAACATGCAAGAAACTGAGTCAAGTTGCAATGAAGAAAAGAGCTAGCTACAGCCAGAGCAGTACCTTGGTTCGAACAAGAACTTCGGGATTCCAGGTAAGGAGGAATACACCCAAGGTCCCGTGTGCAGAATTACACCACACTGTTTTCCATACCCAATTCACTCCCTCGCAACCGCTGCGAATTTGTGGTGTCCCGCAGCAAAAGAGTTGGGAGCATGCGAAACAGAACTTCAGAAGAGCAGCACCTTGGTTCAAACAAGGGCCTCGGGATTAACTTTCTTGGATAAAGTTTGTGGTGTCCTCGCGGCAAAAGAGGTACCAGTGTTATGGCAGCAGAACAGTACCTTGATTTGAACAAGGACCTCGAGATTCCAGATATGACAAATGATTTCTTCGTAAGAAGGTCCCATGTGCAGCCTTACACCATACTGCTTTGATTACCCTATTCAAGTCTTAAATATATGAGCAAGAAATCGAGTAGCCTTGCAAAGGACTAAAAATTGTTGAACGAGCAGGCAGAGCAGTACCTTGATTCGAACAAGGACCTCAGGGCAGCATCGCAGCAAACATTGCAAGCCGGCCCAGTGTGCAGAACTACACCATACTGCTTTCCTTAGCTTATTCCACGGCTCATTAATGCATGAGAAATTGAGTAGCTTTGCAGAGGAAAAGAATAGAGCAAGCAACAGAAGAGTAGTACCTTGGTTCGAACAAGGGCCTCGGGATTAACTGTGTCAGCGTCCCCCAATGGAATCCCGTGTGCAGACGTTACACCATATTGCTTTCCCTGCCTTCTTCCAGGCTCGCAAACCTACAAAGAATTGAGTGGAGTTGGGAGGTAAAAAGTGAGCCAGAAGAGCTAGAGAGCAGTACCTTGGTTCGAATAAGGACCTTGGGGTTAATTTCTTTATGGATACGACTACAAAACAGCCCCGTGTGCAGCACCATACTACTTTTCTTCCCTTATTTCACCGCTCTTAGATGCACAAGAAATTGAGTTGTGAGGTAAAACAGGGAACGTCGGTGAAGAGCAGTACCTTGGTTCGAACAAGGACCTCGGGGTTATTATCAGGGAGACAAATGTATTAATGGAACCCCATGTGCGGCGGCCAAGGACCCCAGGATTAATTTTACCATGACCATAAACTAATAGAATGTTGTGCACAGTGTTATACCATACTGTTTTCTTCTTCTAAATGCACCAGAAATTGAGCGGGTTGTGGGGCAAAAAGCGGGAGGATTTGACCGGAACAGAGCAGCACCTTGTTTCGAACAAGGATCTCGGGATTCAATTTTGGTGGGTGCCTTGAAACGTAGGCAGGTCCCGTGTGCAGACATTACACCATACTGCTTGTTGCGGTAGGGTTGGTGCGTGGGTTGGTGGGTTACTGTTCAATCACGGAATTTGCGGAGGTGCGATATTTATAGTTTGAGTTGAAACCGTGATGCCCGCCGGGCATCCATCCTGTAGGCACAGGGATGGATGGATGGATGGATGGATGAAATGAAGGAAGATGCGCGGGAGGTTTGAGTTTCCGGTGAAGCAAAGCCCGTTCAAGTTACTGTTCAACCAACGTTTCAACCGAAGTCTAGAGTCTAGACGCCCAAAGTTGAAAAAAATGAATGACGTTCAGAAAATATCATCGTTCGGGCACCCGAAAGCTTGGACCGCGACTGGAAGTTGGAACCAACCGCGCCCAGAAGTCCGAACCCACGCTGCCAAAGTTGAACAAAACATCCCAAAGCGGTAACGCCGATCGCCGATGCATCGCTTGTCATGCTCTGTTTACCCACCCACTCCGCCGCTAGCACAGCGGGCACAAAGAGTTACACGCTGTCAGATGCATATCACAGACGTAAATGGTCTGGGCCCGATGGTTCTTTGATGGGCCGGAGGTGGCTGTTCCCGACATATCCCGAATAGGTATGTTGTGAAAGAACCCAACGCGCCGCCTCGTGTCCCGCCTCGATGAGCGGTGTTTGACATTCTACACCTTCTAGGTCGCCTGTAGGCGCTTTTATTGGTGTTCACTAGCCTACATTATGGACAGCAGGAGGTAAAGGAAGTTTAATGTCCCAGTCCCCTAACCCAGCTCCGTCCTCCGGGCATTAGTATCGTTCAAATATCTCCTACTTGCGCTCCTACTCATGCTCCTACTCGGCTTCCTACTCAGTTTCCTACTCAAGTAGGAGAACGAGCAGGAGGTCCAAAAAGGATGATTTTTGAAGTAGGAAAATCAGTGGTCCCTTTTTGCAAAAAGTCTCCTACTTGCATTTCCTGGGCATGTTCCTGTTTGCATTCACAATTGAAGCTCTGTGCCAAAACTCAACTACATAATGTTTTTAATCTCCTTTGCCCACGACTATTGACCCTTACTCAACCCTCAATCATCGTTGTTTACCCTTATTAATCCCATACTTTGGGTGTGAGCAGGAAACATCTCCTACTGTGCTCCTACTTGTAAAATACCGGAGGGGGGGTTTCAAATATGCTCCTACTTGGTCTCCTACTCACCCTCCTACTGGTCTCCTACTGGCCATTTTGGCAGTAAAATGCGGAGTAGGAGACGAGTAGGAGCCTGAGTAGGAGCCCGAGTAGGAGCATATTTGAACAACACTATTACACGACACATTCCACGATGCACGGCGAGTTTTTCGAGGTCGACGGCTTTTTGACACCTCCCTTGATTGTCCCCCAATCAAATTTTCTTTGCTTTTCTCAATGTCTGCCTATATGCTCTCACTTGCATTCCACCCTCATGCAAAAATTCCGTTGGAAAAACTCATGCTGTCTGACGAGCAGCGACATGCCATCCAAGAAATCTATGAATCCGAGCAGGAACTGTCTTTGAAATACTTTTCTGCAGATGAATCGCAGGACCAGGTCCAAGAATTACTTGCGTCGAATCAACTGGACTTACTGTCGCGGAAACAACTCGAGAATCGTTGGAATGTTCAATGGTCGACATCTTGGCCAAGTGGCGGGAGAATTTGTAGGCGAACTCTATTTCAGTGGTGCGGGCAACAGCAACCTCTGTGTTTATTCCAATGTTTCCTGATTCAATGTGAAATAGTTCGTCTGGATATAACACTGAAGCGCGGCAGGCGACAAAACTGAAGCATGCAGCCGCCGATCGAACTCAATCTGCGACACCATGGACCCGCCAAAATCCATTTGATTTCACTGGCTGCCTTGCACATGTTGAGCTCACGGAATTTGAGCCCGACGGCGAGGTGAAAGCAATAGTAGGGCATCTTAAGCACAACACTGCATGCTGCACCTCTGCCATGAAGCGTCTTCCTGCGGTGCCATTGCATTCACAC